AGTGTGTTGTGAGAGAGAAATGAGGGAGATGGAGATGTGAGGGAACCCTGGTCTTGTGACGTTCTGATTTATCTCGTTTTCTGCATGTTGCTGTGAAAACAAATCGAATAAGTTTACGGATGAGAGAAGGAAGTATGGAAGGAAACGAATGAATAGCAAAAGAGTGTTGATAGAGAAGGGAAAGAATAAAGGGGAAAGATAGAAAGCAAAATGGCACACACACACACACATATATATAGATAGATAGATAGATAGATAGATAGATAGATAGATAGATAGATAGATAGATAGATAGATAGATAGATAGATAGATAGATAGATAGATAGATAGATAGATAGATAGATAGATAGATAGATAGATAGATAGATAGATAGACAGATAGATAGATAGATAGATAGATAGATAGATAGATAGATAGATAGATAGATAGATAGATAGATAGATAGATAGATAGACAAATATATCATACACAGATAGATTTATAAATATATATGTGTGTGTGTGTGTGTGTGTGTGTGTGTGTGTGCGTGTGTGTGTGTACGCGCGCGTTATTTATGTGTATGCGTGTCGCGTACGTATCCCTGTCCTGGTGCATGTTGCTGGAAGCTGCGAAGGCCTAGTGGAAAAGGGAAGGGGGGTGGGAGAGGACAAAGGGGAGGGGAAAGGAGGGAACGGGGAGTGGGAGAGCGAGAGGGAGGGGAAAGGAGAACAGAAGAGAGAGGTAGAGGGTAAGGAGTGGGAGATAGAGGGGAGAGGGGATAGGAAAGGGAGGGTGAGGGAATAGTAGAGGGAGGGGAAGGTTAAGGGGAGGAGGAATGGGAAGAGGGATAGGAAGAGTTGAAGAGAGAGGGATGAGGGAAAGGGAAAGAGGAGAGGGACAGGGAGGGGAAAGGAAGGAGGGAAGAGAGGGGAAGAGAAGAGGAGTAGGAGAGGGAGAGGGGTGGTAAGAGGAGGAGGGGGGAGGGGAACGGGAGGGGGGGAGGGAGATGGGCCGATAAGAATGTTTTATGGAATCCGACAGAAAGGAGAATGAAATTGGATTATGTAAAAGGTGAGAATGTACGAGGATTTTCGGATGGAAAACGTTTTTTTTTTTCCTTTCTTTCTTTCTTTCTTTTTTATTTATTTTTCCGTGGGGGAGGGGAAGAATCTTTTTTTATTATTCTTATGTCATTATTTACGTGTATATAAGGAAAGATAGCATGGAATATATTTTTAAAGCGTACATTTTTTCTCATTTTTTTCCTTCTGTCTTTTCATTTTGCTTTGCCTGACGTGTTGAAAACATGCTACATATGATATCAGATTTTTTTGTGAAAACTGGAAGAGGGGACGAAAAATAATAATAAAATACAAATATTCTGAGGGGAGAGAAAGGAGGGGAAGAAACGGGACGAAAGGAAAAGGGAAAATAGGGAGAAAGGAGGAGGAGAAATAGGGAGAGAGGGACAAACCAAGGAACGGAGATTAAGAGACAGAAACAAAGTGTTATAGAAAGGGAACGAAGGAAAGGTGAGGGAATGAAAACAAATCGAATAAGTTTACGGATGAGAGAAGGAAGTATGGAAGGAAACGAATGAATAGCAAAAGAGTGTTGATAGAGAAGGGAAAGAATAAAGGGGAAAGATAGAAAGCAAAATGGCACACACACACACACACACACACACACACACACACACACACACACACACACACACACACACACACACACACACTCACTCACTCACTCACTCACTCACACTCACACACTCACACTCACTCACTCAAACACACACACACACACACACACACACACACACACACACACACACACACACACACACACACACACACACATACGCGCATACAATCAAACAAACAGACACGAGGAAAGAGGGGAGGCGAGAGGGGAAACTAAGGAAGAAACCGCCAAAGCATACGGGAGAAAATTTTCATGAGGGGAAAAGTAATCTAGCCGTGACACATGTCGACTCAACCGACACCTGGATAAGCCTGTGACACCCGGATGATTGGCTGTGGGTGTCGGACACATTTTTTTTTTTTTTTTTTTTTTTTGTCTTATTGACGTCGTTCGTTTTATGATAGTATTGTATTATTATGACAATAATTATAATAAACACCAACAACAACACTAACAACCATAACGCCATAGAGAAAGAAAAGCATCCCTTCGCTGCGAGTGGAACCTGGCGCGCGGCCCCGCAGAGTTTCCACAGCGCCCGGCTCGCCTTGCCTCCCCACCTGCGCCCCATTGATTATCTGACAACCAGCCAGAGGTCAACGTCACTACCTGTCGCCTCCGGTCTCGCAAGACACATGGACGCGGACCTGAGACACCGGCCTTTCAGGGCTCTTAGGGACAAGGGCAGGGGAAGGGTTAATGGAGGATGGGATATAAGGAAGGGGGGGAGAAGGGAAGTAGGGGAAGGAAGGGCGGGTTAGGGAGGGAGGAGAGCGGTAGGGAAGGGAGAGAGGGGAACGGAGGGAAGGCGGGAAAGGGAAGGAGAGGAGGGTAAAGGAGAACGGGGAAGGGAGGGAGGGAGGGAAAGAGAGGAAAGGGGGAGGAGGGGATAAGAAAGATGTTGCAACATCAGAGAAGGAAGGGAAGGGCATAATGGTGTGGAAGAAGGGAGGGGAGGAGGACAAAATGACACAGTGATGAGAGAAAAAGAGTGAGTATGGTAAGAAATAAAAGAGAGAGAGAAGAGAGAGAGAGAGAGAGAGAGAGAGAGAGAGAGAGAGAGAGAGAGAGAGAGTGATTGAGGGGAGTCCGAGACAGAGGCAGAGATAGATAGACAAGTAGGTAGACAGATAGATAGATAGAGAGACAGATGTAGAGAAAGATAAAAAGAAAAAGAGATTGAGAAAGTGACGGAGATAGAAAGAGAGAGAGGTCGAGACGAACACAGACATACTGAGAAAGGAAAAAGAGATAGAGAGAGAAAACCAAAAAGAGGAGGATACTAATATAGTCCCTCGCCATGCCATACCATTGTCCGCCGTGACAGTAACTCTATATAAAGTCCCGTGCAATTGGCTGATTTGTACTGCATTTGTTCTGCATCGCAAATGACTTTATTGTTCATAGTGTGCCTTTGATTGAATGGTGATCTGGCAGTGTATTATCTGATGTAATAATAGTTATTGATTCGCTATTGGATTCGGGGTAAGATTGTGAGTGAATATAACAGGAAGGGAAAAGCATTTTGTTTATACGCAGAATCCCCTGATTGTATTATCTTATTGGAGATGATTGGTTTGATAACATTTTCTAGGTAATAGTTCGCGTTTTCTTTGTTTTATTTATTTTTTCTCTCTCTCTTTCTCTCTCTCTCTCTCTCTCTCTCTCTCTCTCTCTCTCTCTCTCTCTCTCTCTCTCTCTCTCTCTCTCTCTCTCTCTCTCTCTCTCTCTCTCTCTCTCTCTCTCTCTCTCTTTTCTCTCTCTCTCTTCACATCTCTTTCTCTCCTTTCTTTCTATCCTTTTTTTCTCTCTCACTCTTGTGTGCTCTGGTTAGTCTGAGAATTATCGCTGAAGAATGATTGTGTTTGACATATATTTTCACGTACAAGTTAATAGCACAGTATGGCATTTTTATTGCCTTTTTTTGTAATTTTTAAGATAATAAATATGGTTTTGCAATTTACCCGCCCATTGCAGTAAAATAATACCAGTTGTTGTGTTAAAAATGTATAGCTGTTAGCTTTTAGAATTTCGATTTTGATGTGTTTTAGGAATATTTATAAATCTGGCTTTTACAAATATTCCACACCATATGTTAAAGACCAGATTGTTTGAAAAAAAAAATAAGCACAATTTTTGACTGGACTAGTTCGTGCGTCTAATTTGTCTTTATTTTTTTCCATGTTGATGTGTCTTTTGGGTGTCATCGTTTGTGTGTTTGTTCATCCCATGAATTCTTGCTAACTGGAATATATGAACGAAGGTCGCTTTGTCGTGTTGACTTCACTCTATTTAGACTTTATTTCACGTACGAGAGAGCGGGAGTGGAAAATATATTTGCTCTGTCATTCTCATGCTAGAAGAATGACAGAAGTGTGTGCAAGAAGGCCGTTTGCATTTTCTTTCTGTCGTTCAGTGTGACAATGACAAGTTCTCCGGTGAGAAGGCAAAGGGAGAAATATACGGAGAGGATTCTTTCTTCTCCGCTCTGTTTTTTTGCTTTTTTTTATTACTCTCTCTCTCTCTCTCTCTCTCTCTCTCTCTCTCTCTCTCTCTCTCTCTCTCTCATTTACCCATCTCTCCTCTCTCTCTACCCCCTCTCTCTCTCTATCTATCTATCTATCTATCTATCTATCTCTTATTTACCCATCTCCCCCCCTCTCTCTCTCTTATTTACCCATCTTCCCTCTCTCTCTACCTCTCTCTTCCTCTCCCTCACCTATTTATGGTTAGTTCTCGCAGAACAGCAATGGCAGGTAAGTTCTGAATATGAAATATTAATCAACCAAATTACTTTGTATTGGTGATGTTTTTTTGTTTTGTTTTTTTGCCAAAGGACAGCCAGGCTCCCGTATGTTTATGTTAATGTTCTGCAAATACAGGGATTTTAAACTTTCCCTTTTAATCTTATGTGTTTCAATCATTCTTTGTAATTATTATTTCATTACCTAAGGACGGAGGCTCATTAAAACTTCTCATTCAAGTTGCATAAATATTTTAGTTCTAAGAACGAGTAAAAGGGACTTCCATTTGAATCCTGAAAGTTTCTATTTTTTTGCCTCTGTGTGTGTGTGTGTGTGTGTGTGTGTGTGTGTGTGTGTGTGTGTGTGTGTGTGTGTGTGTGTGTGTGTGTGTGTGTGTGTGTGTGTGAGAGAGAGAGAGAGAGAGAGAGAGAGAGAGTGTGTGTGTGTGTGTGTGTGTGTGTGTGTGTGTGTATGTGTGTGTGTGTGTGTGTCTCTGTTTGTGTGTGTGCCCGTAGTTTTATGTCTTACACATTACATGTCTATATTTTAACCTTGTTGTTTTTTCTCTCCGCAGCAAAACCGAGGTGGCCTCGATGGCGTGGTCAGCAAACTCATGTAAGTGATCTGTCCCCGTTCAGTATGTGTACTCTTTCCCCTTCCGCTCAGTCAGGTTCCCTCTCACTCTCTCTGCCTCTCTCTTTCTCTCTGTCTCCCTCTCCCCCAGCACTCCCAGCACTTCGCAAGGGATTGCTAACTTGCTAGCACAGGTCTGTTATTAGGTTTTGGGGAAACCACACTTCGAAGTTTAAACGCTTCGACTCACAGTTTATATCATAGGTTACATGAGCCAAGCCTAGGCAGCGGAGAATATTACTGTTCTCTCGCAAACATACACGCACATGTATACGTACATGCACAGCACACTACCAAATAAATTCACACACTTATATACACTCATGCTAAACACACAAACAATCACACATATAACGCATACATACAAGCAAACACAAACACACTCGAACAAACACGCATAAACACACAAGCAAACATAAAATCAAGAAGAGACACACACAAATACACACACGCTCGAAAATTCAACCCATTTATTGATAATGTATGACACGAGCACCAGAAATGCGGGACATCACACATTGACATTTCATACACAGGTCAGTATTTTTTGTTTTTGTTTTGTACATATACTCTGATACTGAATAAAGTACTCTACAGGACGAAAGTACATTTGATACAGAAAATGTTTACATTAACATTTCATCAAACTGCAGTTCTACAATTTATACATTACACTGGCTTACAGGACAACAGTGTATTCGCCAAAGCATTTCATATGATATCCGACTTCTAGTACACTAATACGGTGATACACTTATCAGTTCTAGCTAATGAATTCATCTACTGAGGATCAGCCCATTTAATCCTACAAAGTACATTCCAACAGCCTGTGTGGTGTAGTTTATCAGAGTGCAGACTTAAACGTAGCTCAGCTCTATCCTTCCCAGAGAGAAGTGAAAATAGTAGAAGGAATTCAGGGAAATAGATTGCATAGTGATACAGGGCTGAGGGCTAGCGTGCACAAACCCTTGTACATAATCCTTAGGCCAGCAGAGAGAGCGTAGCTTAAGGCCGCCCTAGCTATATTCCCCCTTCATTTGTAGCGCCAAGATAGATAGGCAGGGCTCTTTTCCTGGCTTTGATTACAACTTTAACATTATATCTAAATGTAAATATGTTGTACATAATAATTAGCACTTACGTGCCGATCATATCTTATAAATGTGTTTACCCATGTGTATATAGCTTCATATGTGCTCTGTATATATATATATATATATATATATATATATATATATATATATATATATATATATATATATATGAATGTATGTATGTATGTATATGTACAGTATATATACAGTATATATACGTATACGCGCATATGAAATAACTGTAAGCACATCTATAAAATTTGATTATTTACAATCTCTATCCTGCATCCATTCACTGACTAGTGTTTTTACCTGAATATCTTGTATTGTTCCCTCAGTTGTTGTCTATAGTTCTACCTTGCCTGTCCTTGTGTGTCATGTCTGGCCCAGGAACATGTGTAATTATTTACCATTTATCTTATATAGAGATTCTCCATCAGGGTTATATTTGCTCTCTAGTAAGTCCATCTTTACTTACCTATTTTCTCAACTAGCTTAATGTCTTTGTTTCCTTTAATGTCTTCTGTTGTTATTTTCCTCCCTTTTGAGATTATTGACAGATATTGTTTTATCTGTGTGTGTGCTCCGAGCCTCTCCTTCTCCCTTCCCTCCTCCCCTTTCCTCAAGTCCCTCTGTGTTATCGTCTACCTTTTTTTATCCTATTTTTACCCCTTTCCTTTTCTTATCCTTTCTGTTCCCTCCCCTCCCTCGCCCAGTCTCGTCATTGTGCTATTAATTCTCTTTAATAGCCTTTCAATAGCCCGTCAATAGCCCCTTTGTCTCGCCAAATTCAGACCTTTATCTGCTCCAAATGACATTTCTTTCACTCCTAGAAACTGGTGGCCTCCTTGCCTTGGCCTTATGCCCTCCTTAACCTCCTGCGACCTCTCCCTATTCCTCTTCCTCTTCCTCTTTCTTTCTTTTTAACTCTTTCTCTTCCTTTTCCTTTGTGTCGCCTCTTTTCCCTATTAATTTTCCAATATTTCCTCCTCTCTCTTCTTCCTTTTCACTATCTTGTTTTTGTTTCTCTGTCTCTTTTTCTTCCATTTTCCTTTCTCATCTCTTTACGCCTGTGCTCCAGGATCCCATTTTCAAGCTCTTTGCCCTCCTCCCTTTCTGTCCCTGCTTCTACCATTATTGCTACTTTCGATTTTTTCTCTGTCTACTTCACTTCCTCCTCCTTTTATCTCCTCACCCTCCTTCTCTTCCTCTTTCTCTTCCTTTTCCTCATCTTCATATTCTTCTTCGTCCTCCTCCTTCTCATCCTCCATCTCTCCTTCATCTTGCTCTTCCTCCTATTCCCCCTCCCCCTTCTCCTCTTCATCTTTCTCTTCCTCCTCCTGCTCCTCTTCTTATTCATCTTCCTCCTTTTCTTCTTCCTCCTCCTCTTCCTCCTACTGCTACTACTATCACTACAATTACTGCTACTGCTGCTTCGCTACCTCTGCTATAACTGATAATACCTCCTTCTTCTCTTCTTCTTCCTTCCTTTCTCTTCCTCCTCCTCTCTTTCACCTTCTCCTCCTCCTCTTCTTCCTCCTCTCCCCTTCCTCCTTCCCCCCTCCTTCCGTTTCCTCCTTTTCTTCTTCCTCCTCTTCTCCTCTCTCTTCCTCATCAAGGCGCCTACCTCCTTTCGGTCTATACCTGTTCCCCTTGCTTTTCCTCCTCTTCCTCCTCTTCTTCTTCTTCCTCCTCTTCCTCCTTCTCCTCTTCCTCCTCTTTCTCTTCCTCCTCCTCCTCCTCCTCCTCCTCCTCCTCCTCCTCCTCCTCTCCGTCCTCCTCTTCCTAATTCCCTCCACCTTCTTTATTAGCTTCCCTTTCCTCCACGTACAAACGTTTTTTTTTATTCCATCAGTGTATTTGTGATTTCCTTGCGTATCCTCCCCTCCTCCCTCCCCGTCCCCTCCCAGTATTAATAAGATCTAGCTTTTTTTTACCCTTTTTCCTTTTTATTACCTTTATTATTATTATCTCTCCTCCCTTCCTCTCCCTTCATTCTACGGCTCCGGCCAAGACTGCTGTACATAAATGCCTGTATCTCATATTTATATCTCTCTCAAGTTCTATTACATATATGTTTTTTCAGGTTTGTTATTCTCGGCTGTTTACTATCTTACATTTGTTTGTATTTCTCCTACATTCTTATTCTTGTTCTCTTATATGACTGTCTGCGTGTCGTTAAGGGTCATCTTGTCGAGGTGGGTAAGCCAGTGCTAGGTGGTACTACAGTCCGTCGCCGAAGCGTAGTTGCGGTTAAAAAACAAAAAAAAAAAACTATTTGTCGTTGTTGTTATTGTTATTGTTGTTGTTGTTGATGATGATGATAACAAGTAAACCCTCTTTGAAGTACTGTTAGAGCCAGTCCCCGATAGATACTGTAGTTATGAACCTTTTGCTACCCTTTAGCAAAACAAAAAAAATAAAACAAAAAAAAAAACAGACAAAACAAAATAAATGCTAGCCTGGAGTTGCTGGGTTTGCCAAAATTTTATGAGCAAATACAAAATCATAAGATGTCCATTCTCTGGTGACTTCTGCTTACCACTACAAATACTACTTTCATTGCATCTACAACTGATACTACTATACTAGCAAAATTGCTCTCTATGAGATCTTCTATGACTTTTATAGATGTTTGTTTCGTTTCCCCGTTTCGTTTCGTTTCGTTTCGTTATTATATTTTTTGCGTATTTAAAGTTTTTTTTTCCTTTTATACTACTTCACTGACTGATTTCAAACATATCCCTAACACTCTCCTCTTATCACTGTAATTCTATAAAAGATTTCATTATTTACAGTCGTATAAGAATTTGTGACGTCATCACTGTTTAGTGCTGTCTAATTCGTAATTTTCAGGGTCTGATTTAACTTCTTTCAGCGTCCTCCTGATTCCGCTCATAATTCTCACAAACTTCCTCGGTTGTTTGATACTTTTTGCACTTTTTATGACGAACATATCTACACACTTTCAACTTAGGGACTTTTTTAACTGACAGCCATTTCCCCTTGTAAGGCTTTGCTACATGCGTTCCTCTCCAACTTAAAGCCTTTCATTCCTTGCGAAGGCTTAAAGGATCATCGACAAATATTATCTCTTTCGCTCGCTCGCTTACTCTGTCCGTCTCTCTCTCTCTCTATTTCTCTCTCTCTCTCTCTCTCTTTCTCTCTCTCTCTCTCTCTCTCTCTCTCTCTCTCTCTCTCTCTCTCTCTCTCTCTCTCTCTCTCTCTCTTTCTCTCTCTCTCTCTCTCTCGCTCGCTCGCTCGCTCGCTCGCTTACTCTGTCTGCCGCCCCCCCCCCTCCTCTCTCTCTCTCTCTCTCTCTCTCTCTCTCTCTCTCTCTCTCTCTCTCTCTCTAATGCAAATAACTTCATTTCAAGACCATCATGGACGTCAGTGGATAACCCCCTATTCCATGTTTTTCTTTTATATCTTTTGTCATTATTGTTTATCTGCACTTGTGTTCCTCATTTTCTCTAGACTTTATGTTTAGTGGCAACATGATTTTTTCGTTAAGTTATGAAAAAACGTCATAGAAGATGTTCACACGTAACTAAAGGCATAAACGCTTCCATTTAATCCAAAACGAACTCAAGTTTCGAAACTTCTTGATCCTAACTAAGGGTTCTTTCGCAGTCCATTTCCTCTTACCTTTTTTCTAAAATGATTATCATTATCAAAGATCAAAGAAGAAACACAAAAAACAAGATATTAAGAGTCTTTTTAAAAAATCAGAAGGAACCCAACCATCCAACTTCCCCATATATTTTTTTTTTTCTACCAATGCACTTTACATGCAGACGAGACACCCATGCTACGCTTCGGCTGTACGCCCATGACTCCGGCCAATAAATTTAAGATGAAACACTCACCTCCGTCTTCTGGGTGGCT